ATCGGGGCTCCGGCGGCGCGACGCTCCGCACCGACGCTCCGCGCCGACGCAGCGGTGCCCGGCAGCAGCCGGCGTGCGGCTCCGCAGCCCCGGAGCCAACACGGGCTGTGGCTAAAAGCCCCCTGACCTTGGGCTCATCCTCCCAGGGAGAGGCTGCTGCCAGCTTTGGGCAGCTGGACCCTTCCCTCTACACCTGCCCTCTGCGGCTGGCTCTAATGACAACCAGCAAGAGCAGCCAAGGAGCTGCGGGCACATCGCATTTGCTACAGTCTCCTTCATGCCCTCTGTATATTAAAAAGAATCCCATATGCCATAAGAAAGAAAAAGAATCAAACAACTTTGTACAAAAGCATATTCCCCAAGGCCTAACACCTTTGCCACTTCACGAGGAAAAGCCAAAGGAAGATTGGCAGGCAACCGTGTTAGAAAATATTCTCTTTGTTTTGAGACGGGGTAGCAGCTTCCACGTATTCACGTGGGGTTGGCCGGGATCTCCACCCAAGACCCTCTCAGTCCCGGGTTTTGTACCGACCCGACGAGAAGTGCTGACCTTGCTGCACATCCCACCCAGCACAAGCACGGCTCCCTCGCTCCACAGGGAAAACCACAGCGGGGTTCCACCACAGGACCCTTCTGCAGTCTTACTCATGCTTCAGATCTCAAGTGAGTGAGTTTGGCCATGTCACACATGCCCCAGAGCTCATTTCTCTACATGAGACTAGCTTCGGGACACAGTCATAGCTGGAGGCACCCAAGGAGGGCTGAACATAAGTGCAGGGATGGAAAACTGAAGAGCACAGGAGGTAGCAAGCGACATGCCCGGCCTCGCGGCACGTGCAGGGCTCTCCCTCCGAGCCGGGCCCGGGCTGCAGGCCCCTTGCTGGGGAGGCTGCACCAGGGTCCTCCCCTGCCCGAACTTTAGTGACCACATCCATGTGGCTGTGGGGAGGGTGCACTTGGCCCTGCCGAAGCCCCTGCGATGGGAAAAATCCCCCCTGAAAGCACATCCTCCTGCCCGCTGACAGGGGCTTCATTTAGACACCTAAATGCCTCAAATTAAGAGAGATTAATCAAACATTCACTCCATGGGTAGAGAAAGCAGTTGGACCTGAAAAGGGGAGGGTAGGGGAGGACTAACCGCCCTGCCCTGCCATCTGGGGAGCTCCGCAGGGCCCCGTCCCCACCAATGACAGCTGGAAGCAGGCAACACACTCCACTTCAGCAAGCACTGCACTGACTCAGTGCCTCTCCAAAGCCTGAATCCTCAAGCGCCTCCCCTCCTCCCATGGAGGCAGGCGTGGGATGTGCCTAAGAGATCGAACCGGGGGCGCCGCGGCCTGCACGGAACGGGATCACTGCTCCCTTCTCCGCAGAGCCCCTTTACGCAATGGAATAATCCGGCACGGGGCGAGTTCCCTTTTACGTGTCTCCTCGAGGCGCAGCGCGCGCTCAAGCCCAGGGCTACCAGCCAGGAGCGGCAGCCCCGAGGCTAACGGGCAGCCCTGGAAAACCGCCCTGGGCGAGGAGGGAAGAGCCGCGAGTTTCCGTGGAGCCGGCGCGGCTCTCCCTGCCCCTCGGCCGAGGTTCCCAGCCGGCGGCAGCGCCCTGGCTCTCAGCACCCCGTTCTCCAGAGAAAAGGAGCTGCACAAAAGGACAGCACGAGCAGGGCAGTGTCCCCAGCACTGCCCCGCGCCGCAGCAGAGCGACGGCTGCTCTCAGTTTCTGCACCCCGCCGGCTCCGCGGCTTTTCCGTCAGCCGACGGCAAGGTGCCCACGCGCCGCGGCACACGCGGCGGCGGCGCTCCACAAACACCAACTCAGCCAAACACAACAGAGCTCTTCAGACTGGAATCACAAACGTAAAAACTTACTTTGTTGAGGGCTCCGCAGCCGGTCAGGATTATGTGCGAGTTCTCAACCTGGATGGTCCTCTGCCCGAGCCGAACAAGGTAGGCCCCGATCCCAATAGCCCGACATGTTACCTAAGGAAAAAAAAACAATACACACACCTGCTTTGTCCTATCCCACATCCAAAACCTAGCAATTCAAATGTCTCGACAAAACCAGTCCATCTTTGTATTACACGGCTGCAAAAACTACCTCTTCTTGCAAAACTCCTCCTGTTCTTTGTAAAGCAAAGTATCTGATAATGTTATGTATTTTATTTCAAAGAGGAGGAGCAGCAGCTTAGAGACAGAGCAAACAGGAAATCAAATGACTGCTTTCCAAAGGTGCTTTAAATTTAGTCTGGAACAGATCCAGACCTGTAATGGTGCAAACAGTGCTGCTCAGAGTCAATGGGGATGAGCCAATTTACATCATCAAAAAGTCTGATCCCAGACGTATCTCTTGGATTTCACTGCAAGATTTTCAGCTGAAACAGATGATGCAGTTTGAAGAATAGAAAGCAGAGGGGGATTACCAGATTGATGGTGATAATACTCTCATAGGCTAAAGACGATTCTCCAGCAATCATGCCAGATCCTCTGAGGTTCTCAATTCCAAGTCCGTCTTCCTTCCCGATAATATCTGTTATCTTGTACCTGAGGGAGACACATACAGCCTTTGAGTCACAAGGTCCAGTGATTTGCTGAATCAGTTTGCTACCAAGAAAATGAGAAGTGACTAAATATCATTAAGGCTCCAAAGACTAATGTGCATAATCCGCGGGCAGGACCGTACACGGGCTGGTTCTGCACCTTGCTGAACCACGGAGCAGCCCTGCAAAGAGGCAAGGCCAAGGGAGAGGGAGGCCCGTGAGCAGTGCTCCTCTGCCATTCCCATGGGATGTGAGGAGCAGAGTGATCATAGACCAAAGGGTAAGGGAGGAAGAGAGGGCAGCGAAAAAAAAAAAAAAAAAAAAAAGGATACGACATTATAATTAGGTTCTTACCTTTTCTTCACTTTCTTCTTTCACATCTCTTCCCCAGGCCTGTCCGTTCTCACTGAGCTCTCCCAGACTGGCCTGTCTTTTCCCCTAGGCCCTTGCTAAGTGCAGTGCTCCTGCCTGCACTGAGGTGCTCCACTGAAGGGGGGCACAGCCCGTGTCCCCACAAGCCTTTTGCTCCTTCAGAGCTTGCCAGACTCCAAACTAGCAGCCTGCTCCTTCCCGAGGCATCCTGCGGCCGCCCCGGGAGCACCACCGCTCCCGAAGCACCCTGGCATCTCCACGGGTCCTAATTACGGGTTGGAGCCGGGAAGACACAAGTGCCTGGAGCAGATGTGTGTGTGTGGAAAACCGTATGCTGTGACCCAGGCCAGTGCAACCACACACCCCTTGTCCCAAGGACAAACAGGAAGGTTTTCCTTCGGAGCAGCTGCGCTTACCTGGACTCTCCATTGTCCTCCACGTGCTCACAGTGGACTGAGTTCAAGGCACTGACTTTCTTATAGTCTTGAGGAGTCAGGTACAAATATTTGTATCCCTGCAGGGAAAAACAGTACATTTATCTCATTCTCATCTGTAGTCCCTTCCAGACTTCCAACAACCCCTTCCAAAAAGGAGAGCTTCAAGGGGGCAGAATTTAATCCCAGAGAGTGGCAAGGACGTCCTTCCTCAGCACCAGGGCTCTAGCTGAGGCTAGTGAAACCTGGGGTTCTTCCATCATTTATGGCCTATTCATTTTGGGGACCAGTTCAGCTGCCTGGGAGACCTCATACCAAGGAGAATTTGGTCCCAGTGGTCTGGCAAATACATAGCCCACCTGTATTAAAGCAGCCTGTGTAAAAATAAACCATCTTTTGTGCCCTAGCTTCACCTCTGATTCTAGTGCCTCCTTACTTTGTACGGGTCATCCGGGTCTTCCCAGGCCACGTGGAACATGTGCCGAATCTCCTCAGCCAAACCGATCCTGGCTCCGCTGTTGGCGGCCACGTAGATGCGGGGAATACCGTGCGTGCGAGCGAGCTCCGAAGCCCTCAGGAACAGCACGTCCTCCTGAGGCCCGAAAGAACCTATTCGGTAGGTAATGTCGTTGCCAATGACAATGATATCTCGGCCATCTGGATACTCGGGCGTTTTGAGAGTCATTTTCCAGGCCACCATGCCAATCTGCAATTAAAAAGCAGATAAAAGATAGAAGAAATAAATAGTAGAACCATACGTTTAAGTGGTGCAAGAGGGAAGCAAGGCCGGCGCGTTCTGCCTGCACGTGCTGCCCCTCGTCCGCAGAGCCCTGCAGGGCCAAGGGCCGGGCCGGGCCGCGCGCCCCCGCTGCGGCGTGTCCTCCCTCCGTGCCTCCTTCCTGCCCAAGCTCTCCCGTTATCCGTTCAGGGACTTGTCTCAGGTCCAAACACGCTCTGCAAACACCCCTCGCGTCGCTTTTATTCTGTGCAGCGGGAACGCAGGGCTAGGCTGGATCTTATGCTCTACTGGAGGCTTGACCATCTGTTTCGGCTGCCTGGCTGATCACCGCAGAACCTCATTACACCAGTTCTCCCTCAACTACCCTTATTTTAATAACCCTTTTAACTATCTCATTTTTTTCTGTCCTTTCCTTCAGGTTCTCCTTCCAAATAGCGCAGCAGCTTCCTCCCAGCCCCACCTGGGTGAGCAGTGCTTTAGCTGCCTCTCTTCCTTTTCTCTGTAAATCACTCGCTGATCTCTCCTGGCCCTCCTTATGGGGACGAGCAACACCCGTGCCCTGTGCCCGCCGCGTCCTCGGCTCCGCACGAGGAGGGACCAGGGCGGAATGCCACTAACAGACGGGAATCGCAGCAGCCCCAGAGCACCCATGCATCACCCAGGCTCAGCAACCCCAGGAGCACAAGCTCCAAGGCCACATTCCTCAAGCCGAGGCGCTCGGCACGGGAGCAGGACAGGCTGGAGCAGGGGGAGAAGCAGCAGACAGACAGGTGCTATTTAATCCAGATCAAAATGGCACAACGCGCAGGTGAGATCCAATCAGCATCTGCAATAGGATACACCATAACGGACTCATTAAAAAAATAAGATGACAGAGGAATTAATCACAGGACCACTGGAAGTAAAGCAGGCAGCAATCCAAAAGTATTAGAGCTGGCCACGGACAGATCCTTCCCTTGCACCTCCTGGGAGCTGCGCGGGCGAGCGGGACGACGGCAGCTCGCTGGGCTTGCCTTCGCCCAGGGCTGTTTGCAGCGCTGCAAAGGATGAATTTGTTTGTTTGCTTTTGAATGTTTGCAGATTTACAGTTACACCTCAGCAGAGCTCGGGAGTGAGAGATCCTGCAGCACTTCCAGAGACAGAACCATAAATCCCCCAAGCTCAAAAGGCTCCGTTAGAGCACCAGAATCGTTGCAAAATGAAAGGGTTAGTTTTAACACAGTACAAGTGGATGCAGCTGGCGGCCAGGCGCAGGCAAAAGGCTCCTCAAAGACACCAGGGGTGACACAGAAAACCCGTCCAGAGCCTGAGAGGGCAACCTCGTGGATCCCAAACAGAGCCAGAGGGCCTCCTGGGGCTCTTCTATTACAGGGCTTTCACAGGAGGAAAAAAAAGAGAAAAAAAAAGTGTGGAAGAAAAGGACAAGAAAGGAAAGTTTCCTCCTTCCAATCTCACTGTTACGTGGAGAGAGAGATGCCAAAGGCTGAATATCAAATGTCCAGGCCTGGGACCCAGTGCTGGGCAGGCTGCTCGTAATGAGGAACAGCAGATTGAAGAGCTCTGCAAATCCCCAGGCCGAGGCTCCCAGCCGAGCTCTAGGAAACGGGGAGCCCATCGGCTCCCCAACACCCCCTGCACTCACAGCCCTGCTGTATTTTGCAGGTTTATTTTTCTCTGCCATTACTGATCCCAGCCTCAGGGAACAACTGCAGCTCCTGGTAGAAATCCCAAGGGAATGGGGGAGCGTTCTCCCTCCGAGCGCGCCGCGGGGCGGCGCAGAAGGAGCCTCCCCCGCAGGGCAGCCCCGCGCAGCCGCTCCGAGCGGGCCCCCGCGGCACGCGGGATGCAGCGCCCGCGCGCTTCCCGGCAGCTTCCCGGCATCTTCTCCTCCGTTTCATCCACTTGTTGATTTCTGACATCAGTGCAAACACACCCATTCTCCAAACACTCCCTATTGAGAAAACTCAAACCAGGGCACAAGTCCCCATTTAGCTGGGGGGACTGCACTTCCTCTACACCGCACAATCACTTCCCCTTATTAGAATGGGAAAAAGTATTTAGCCAAGGCACAGGCACTACAAACTCTTGAAAACACTCCGTACCTGATAAATGTGATGCAATCAGATGCACTTTAAAGAAAGGAAGAAATTGAAGTGCACCATTGCAGTAATTTGTGTGCCTTCTGCAGCCCCAGTACATACTATATTTTGTGCCATTTATCCAGTAATAAAAATCACAGGGCGGGCACAGCTCAGGGTCTTTTTTTTTTCCCCCAGAACAATGTGGATTCTGCTTAAATTTATGGGTAGTGGAGGATAGCTTTCTATTTCAGAAAAAAAAGTGATGAGATTTTTAAGTTAACGGCGGCATGCCAAAAAAGGGAGAGTTCACAGGTTAATTAGACGGGCTGAGCTAATCACCTCAGAGCACTGCCAGAACAATGATGGGCGCTGGAAGCGGCAGCGGGTTCAAGCAGGCTCCTTCCAAGAGGCAGCGCAGGCTGGAAGTGCTTCTCGCCGCCGCTCTATTCCCAGCAGCTCCCGGAATGAAGGAGGGAGGGAGAAAAAAAAAAAAAAGCCAGAACCGTCTTATTTAACTGTTTTTATGTTGGCAAAATGATTTGTGCCACAGTATTTCCATAAGAAGTGGGACCATTATTCTCCTGTAGGAACACATTTGGTTTGAGAAGTATCACTGGACAGAACGTGAAAATCAAAGCAGATGAATTATTCACAGCCTCCGATCAGAAGTGATCATTATTTCTGATGTTCCAAACTGTGATTAGGATTCAGCGCTCAGATGTCATTTGCTCCCTGAATAACACCAGCAATGCAGAATAGCATGACACACATATATTACACACAAGTTTTATATATATAATTTTATACACACCTTCTCCCACTAGATCTTTGGCTTAATGTAACCATTAACAGATAGTAAAAACAGGATATTAACCAACGTTCGTTTTCATGGCACTCATAAACGCCATTAGTTTGACACACAGTGTCAACACTAATCATGGCCTAAAATTAACACCAAAATTGACTTCAACATTAATTGCACTATCGATGTGAGCAGTAATACACACAGTGATGCAGCTACAAATTGACTGCTAGTGGCAGCCAGGGCTGCTGACAAGAGGCACGAAGGGAAGGGAAGGGAGCGCGGCCGCCTCCGCTCGCAGGGAGCATCTCAGCCCCTTCCCAGCCCTTCCGTGATCCTGGAGAAGGGCAGCGGGAACGAAATCCCATGCAACTCGAGAGGTTTGTTCTGTGCAGCAGCTGCATTTGAGCCACTTGTGTTATTTTATTCTGCTTCCTTTTGAACGAGGATGATGTTTGAGCCGAGGTGCTTTATATCGTGCTTCATTTTATTTATTTATTTCCGAATTTGGAAACCTGAACGTGGGGGTCTCGATGCCTAAGCAGAGCAACTCAAGAAAGGCTTCGATAACCCCGACCAAAAAAATGGCCTGTTCCCATTCTATTGCATCTGTATAGCACGCGTGATGAAAACATTTACATGTGGGTATTTACTTCATGCAGAAATTATAATAAGAAAGGAAATGCAACAGCTTGCAGAGTGCAGCACGCGCATCCTGGAAATGCCACCGCCGAACAGGAGCGAAACGCGGCTCCCCCCTTCCAGTCCCGGGAAGGGACGTCCCTCTCGCAGGGCTGTGCCCGATTCCAGAGCTGAACTCGTGTCCCCGGGCTCTGCAGACGCCGACCTCTCCTGGAGCACGGGCAGCGCAGAGCGACCAGCACCCTGCAGCACTGCCCTGGTGCAGCCGAAACGCCGCGAGCGCCGCGGACCCGCTCCCTGCACACCCCCGCAGTGACATTGAGTGTTCCGGGCACAGGAGCAGGAAAAAAGACAGAAAATGGGCTTGCAGCGACGCGAGGGGCCGCTCTGCTCTCCCCTGTTAGATCCCCCTGTCAGCAGCGCGCGCAGCCGGCGCTAACCAGCGCGCCCCGGCCCCGCGCGGTGACATCCGAGCAGCCCGTCCACAGCGGCTGAGATGACCCTGCCGAAGCAGGAGCACCTCGGGAATTACACCCGGAGCCTTTCGGATGAGCAGGCACCGCTTGCCATGCGGCACAAAGAGTTTTCCAGCTTCCCTGTTATTTAAACCCGTTCCTACTGCCACGAGAGCCTTCGGGTCAGGATTGCTCCTCAGCTCATCATGGAGACTGGGGAATATGAAGCGAAATTCCTGCTTTTCACAAATGGGGGAGGAGAAGAGGCGGAGGGAGGGACGCAGGGATGTGTCAGAGCCGCACGCCAGCTCCCACACTTGGCCAGAGCTCCCGTGGCCACAAGCACAGGGACCCCGGAGGCTCCAGCTCCCATCGCCTAGTTCTGCGCTGCTGGGAAGGAAAAACTGTGACATCTAGTGCCAACATGGGAAATTACATGTGTGACCTGGGCAGTGCCCCGAGGAGATGGAAGGAACGCGGGCGCTGCTGTGGGGCTCCTGCTCCCTCCTCTCCTTGACGATCAGTTGGGTCCCACCAGCCAATGGTGCTGTCCTCGGGCTAGAGGACCACGGCAAGCTTTAGTCTAATGTATAAAGAGCTACAGAAGGAAACACCAGAACACCCAGCTAAAGAACGACACGTTATATGAGGCTGAGGAAAAATCACCTTTTTACATTACAATTGCAGCTAACATGTTAGTTTTCTGAGCAAAGCCACCTCCGATGGGTATTTGGAGAGGGCGGCGCTACCCTGTGGGCCAGGCCTCGGAGCTGCTGCAAGGAGCCCCGGTGACCGTCGCGAGTCGCCGCGTGCCCCGCGCCACCCCGTCCGCGTTCCCCTGCTCCGACCCTTCCCAGGTCTCCTACATCCCACAGCCGGGGGGAACACGCAGAGCTCCCCCGGGGCTTGTGCTTACTGGGAAAAGATTTAATGAGCAGGTACACTAAGAGCCTTGGGGAATAACCTAACCAGGAACAGGCAGGGAGACCAACCTTAAACGCTCTCCTTAACGCCACGCAGGAACCAAGGCTGCTGTTTGTGATCCTCTGCAGGTGTTTTTCCTGTGCAACCTCCCACGTTTCAATGGCCTGTGCTTACCCAAAGAGCCAGCTCGGACACGGGCTGAGCGTGGTCCTCGCGCTGCGTCACTCCCCCCACGCTCGCAATTGTACATTAAATTATGACCCACTTGTCCCGGACTCTTTATTTGGTACCGCACTCAGGCTCATTAGAAGGGAGCTGTTGACTGAGTTTTCTGATAAAACACCGTCTTCTTCAGCTCCCTTATGTACCTACCGGTTCTGAAAACTGTTTACAAACTGCTCTTAACTTCCCACTGCTGTGCGGCCCGTCCTGCAGCGAGGGCTGCGCTAGGGCCGCGCGGGCGCAGACGGAGCGCGCGCAGGAGGCTCGGAGCGCCCACGCCGCGAGGAGGGAGAGTGCCCGGAGCTGGGACACAGCTCCGGAGCACCAACCCCAGCAGCTCCAGGGCCTGCAGCCCAAGCAAGGAGCAAACGGGTTGCAGGAAAGGGAGCTGCGCAGCCGAGCGCGCCGGCTCCTGTGCTCTGCGGGGCGCGAGAGCCGCGCGGCCACGAGACGCAGGATCCTCCGCTCAGAGGAAGTCAGCACCGTCCGGGAATAGAGAGCAAGTTATATTTCCATGGCCCATTAAGTCCGTGCCGTCGCTGCCGAGGCTGCTAGCAAAGACATGATTCTGCCAAAGGAGGTGGGAGCTCCACGAAGCGCCCGCAAGCTCGGGGGAGAAACCCCTCGAGGGTGGGAAGGTTCTCGAGACCTCCTGACACCCAGGAACCCGCTGGAAACCTTGCACAGGCTTTCCTGAAAGCACATGTAGCATAATATCTGGCACTAAGTTAACAACAATATATTAAAGTCTACTCAAAACCTGTCTAGGTTATCCTCACACCGCTCCAAAGCAGGGCCACCTTTCCAGGCGACACAACCCAATCAAGACACAACCCAACTGAGGCAGTGGAGACCCCCAAGGAAGGTGACCAAGAAAGCGGCTGCAAAACCCAGGAGAGGCTGGGCCTCCTGTGGGACCTGGCATCTCTCCTCAGCAAGGCTTACAGCATTCTGAAGTCAAACAGAGCTATAATCTGAGGACAAAACTCTTCCTTAACCAATTCACACAAGCCTAGAGCGCCAACAAAACCCATGTGCTGTATTTTGAGAACGGTTCTCCATTGCAGCACGGAAGCAGCACTGAACCGAACAGCTCTTCTCCTCGTGGCTTGGCCCCTCTTCCTGCGCAGCGCTCCCAGCTCCTGCCACGTAGATGGATTGCTGCAAGGGACCTTGCTCCCAGCAGACAGGACGCTGTATTTTTCTGCCCAGACGCTGTGCAGACTGATTCTCAGGAACAGCAGAATGAATCCATTTAGAGCCTAACAAAGAAACCGCTTACGCTCTGGATTTACCCTGCTCCTTCCCTCCCTACTCCCTCAGCCACCTTCTTTGGTTGAGAGAAACCCAAGCGCAGGTTTGTGACAAATTTCTTTCCTCAGCTAAAAGAAATTAAACCCTGAAAGCCTGAAGTGGACTCCCGCTGATAAAGCCAGTGCTGCATGGTGGACAGCTGCATGGACAGCTCGCCACGTCTCCAACGTCCCTGCCCTCCAGCTCCTGCTGCAGCCTCCCCCGGGACGCGCCGTTCCGCCGGGAAGGATCCCACGCTCGGGATCGCAGCGCGCTGCAGTGCCTCAAAGCTCAGCACAGCTGCACGTGGCAGCTCAGCCAGCTGCACAGGCTTGACGGGCACTTTGGCAATACGAGCTGCTAGCCGGGTACCCAAGGGACCAACGCAGGGCACCTTCCGCGTCCCCTGCGCCTGCTCTGGGCTTCACAGCAGCTGGAATTTCACCTCCACCCTCGCTTCGCTTTGGGATGTCGTTACGAAGCAGCCCAAAATCTGCCCTATGTTTCCATGAGAGTTCACCTTCAACAAACAGGCAGCAACGCGTGGGGAGGCCCGTTGGACTCCAGGATTGTCTGTCTGTCTGTCCATAGCTCAGCCCTGCTGCACAGCAGCCCTGCATTCAGCAGCACCCGCCAATGGCACATACCTGGTTTGCACAGCTAAGTCTGCCAAGGGTTAAAATAAACTCCTAATTTTTTTTGGTGGTCTTGGGTACAGAATCTGTTCTAATAAGACTATTTGTATTCATACTGGCAGAGTAAACACTACATGTTCATGCCCAGGCAGCTCTGTGCTTGTAATTTCAGCCAGAACAGCGCTCCGTCCCTGAGGGACTTTGCTATTTCCCCAGCCGCCGCCCGCTCAAGCGCTGAACGGGCAGAGGGAGAGAGAAGGATGATGGCAGGGGCCGGCCCGCGCGCCCGGCGCGGCAGCGGGGCTCGTTCCAGCTTTCATTACACCAGTTAAAACATTCCTGCCACGGGCCTGGCACAGGCTGGGGAAGCACTGCTGGCCCAATCACCTCTCACCAATTAGGCTCAATTTGAAAAAAAAAAATATATTCAAAACCTTCTCCTGACATCGCAGTCAACAGCGATGAACCCCCCTGCCTCTGCTCATTGCTATGCCTAGTGTTTCTGAAATAAGAAGAGAGCTTTTGCCAGTCCTGGGTTATATATCTAGTAAAAGGGACCAATAGTTCAGTGATGCCAAGAAAAAAAAAATGACACCCCTCCTTATAACTGTTCACATTTAAATAGCTGGAAAAGAAATAACCAGCTTGGACAAAAACCAACCATCCCCTGCACCCAACTACCCTCTGCACCCACTGTTCACACAGCGCCAGGGCGCTCCGCACCGCACGCTCAGTATTGAAATGCAAAGCATAACATTGGGGTTCCTTTTTTTATTTTTTTCCCCCTCTTTTTCTTTAAGCAAATGAAAACATTTCTATTTATTCTTGTAAAACATGTTTTGTACAAATATAAACCCTGGCTATCTGGAATAGCTGAATGAGCACTTTTTAATTATGAAGGAAAAAAATAGCATAGGAAAGGGTTTGAAATGGAATCATCATTTACTATGGAGGTTAAAATACCCATTGTATGGAAGGTATTAATTTTTAATGAAACAAAAATCTCATTTTCAAGAGAGATTTCATCTATGAAAGACTGAATGAATAGATTTTGTGCCTGGCTTGGTAAATTTTCATTACAATTGTCAAAGCCACTCCAAGACACAACGTCCTGCAGGACACGGAAAGAAAAGTAGTGTGAAAAGAAAGTGTAACTTGCCTCATTGCCTCCCGGGAGCCTGTTCATGTGCACCAGCTGGCCCTGGTCATCCAGCACCAGCTCCGTATACGTCAGGATGTCGGAGGGCAGCGGCAGCGTGGGCAGGAATGGATGTTCATTAATGGAGTTCCAGAGCTTAATCAGAGACTGGAGGATGAAGAGAGAAACTCCTGTCAGGAATATCAGCTGCAAATATTTTTTATTCAACTCATTGTGACTTAATACGCAAGACAGAACACTTGCTCTGCAATCTCACCCCAACAATTTGGCTGATAATATTCAGTGGACTCCATTTATATTGGAACTTAAACTACGAAACACGATTTCACATGAAGTAGCATTATTCAAATTATGTGATTTTGGATAGAACCCAGCAAATCAGGAACAGAATCAATGCTGCAACTCTGGGTAACGCATTTAATGATGTGGTAATGCAGGTTTCTCCTGAGAGCATTAGGAGATTCTCAATTTCTAACAAACCAATCACTAGCGGGGGCTCCCCTGTACACCTTGTGACTGTGCTCCGCTCCAGCTTAGCAGATAGCTCAAAGCCATTCATTAAAGCACTGCCTACATTTAACATCAGGACTTTTAACCCCTCACTCAAGCAAGCCAAGAGCACAGGAGAAGTTGCAGTGGAGTCTTATCCAAGGCGCCACCACCCCTGCCTTGTCAAGCCCTCTGGGAAGGTTGGATAGCAGGAGGGGAGAAGGAAAAAACAAGAGCAAAACACGTTTCCACTTCCACTATTTGATTTATTGGTGGAGCTACAGCAGCAGCATATTGGGAGTCCCATCTTTTTTCAAAGGGGACTCAATCCACAGCTGCCTAGACCCCAGGGAATTAACGTTAGTCACTCCAGACCACACAGCTCCCTGATAAGCAGGGACAGCCAGTGATAGAAGTGCTTTTCTGGTACGAAAGTCTAAAACAACCAAGAGGACTTAAAGAACACTCACCTGCCGAAACATCTCGGGAATGTCATAGACGTACGATGTCCCTAAGGATTGGGCCTGGAATCTCTTGGACTGAAGCAGGTCTTTGGTCACATACGGGGTGTTGATCAGCATCCCATGAAGAGGTCCCTGTTTATCCCCATATGCTTGGAACATGATCTGCAGCAGATAATACAGCCAATTACACACTGATTCAATGGTCCTGTCTCATCCACGCTTCACCAAAAGCCATCAGGAGGTTCCAGACGTATCAGGTCTGGTTTTGTTCTCTCCAGATAGGGCAATACTTACATATCCTAACACACCACGCTCCATCATGCGTTACTACCCTTCGGAGACGGTGCCGGGCCATTACCGCCCGCATCCGAGTACCCCTGACTTATTGCTGTACCGCAGCAGAGCACAGAGCTAACAGAGCCCCATCTCCACGGGGAGCAGCCTGCGACTTAGACCACTTCCCATTCCCCAGGATTTCCCCTGACACCGTATCTCTGCCGACTGACTGTGATAGCTGGGAGCCCCGAGGAGAACTCTATTATTTATGGAGTCCAGCTGCGCTGCATCCGCATCTCCACTCACTGATCATGGAAGCTAGGTCAAGACTTGCATATGTCATTTGACTTGAAGTTTTGATATTATAAGTTTAAAAGATTTTCCCCGAGTAGCAACATGAATTATCAGCTGCCATGCTTCACGGCGCTATACATTCCACTCGATCCGGCCTCGGGAGGAAATCCGAGGCCAAGGAAGAACTGCAACAAGCACGGCTTAACTGGGACAACGCGGAGCACGTGCTGCACCACAGGAACGCGCACGGCAGGAGCAACCTGCTCAGACTGCTTCTGTCAGAACAGTTACCAGGCCTAGTGCTCTACAGCCCTTTTTTCTTTTTTTCTCATTGAAGGCAACTTAACTGAAGAATTCCACTAGAAAGAAAATTCCATAAATAATGCCTATTTTGGTTTTCAGCATTCGAAATAGCAGTTTGTGCTCTCTTCAGGCTTCACAAAGGCTGCTCTGGGATATACCTTCTTCACCGGCAGAAACACCTACTGAGGATAACAGGGCTTTACAGCAGGGCCCAGACCCCCCTC